GTCCTGTGCCTATAGGGAAATTCAAGAGCATTTTTGAAGTGTCATTTTATGGTAAAAGTCGTTGTGCAGAGCTTAACTTACGTAGAAACTATCGTAATTAAAAAAATCCTAATTCTTAGCGACAGTAAAAGGCCTTTTTGTCCTTTGAGGATAAAACACCTCTAGTCCGATCAGGGAGGAGCTCAGGAAAGAGTTAATAGGCCAGGAGAACAACACCGATAAAGCACAACAGCACTTCGCTAAGCCAGAAGTTTAATGCGGGTACAACTTGAAATGATGTAGGTTTTTAATTGACATTCGTAAGCTGACATGGCAAAGCAACGTTGAAGAACTGGCCAGGAAGGTCTTTACGCCTGGAAACAGCTAGAGGCAAGAAATGGTATCTCGAGACTCACATCGTGCACTTAGGTTATTCAGCAGTCGTATGTCGTATCTTACTTTACAGCGTTACAGGTTGGTGGACATCACTGGATAACTCGCTTACTAATTCTAAACTCACCAAGGTTCAAACGGCGGCATACTTGGTAGTCAAAGGAGCAATGCTATCCACGCCCACTAGAGCCTTGGAAACAGAGCATACATTTCTGCCCGTGAACCTTTTTGGGTAGCTTCTGGTAATCTGCAACGCTAAACGTACGACTAAATGCACTGCCAATATGAACCCCGATGCCTAATAATAATAATCCCAACGGTTTTTACCCTCCATTCCCGCCCATCCGCACGAGGGGCGCAGTCCGCATGACGTACGGAACCAATATTTTAAATTTTTGTGCCGAGTCACGATAGGCATTAAGGATCTTAAGTGTCGAGATCTAAAATTGTTCAGCTACAGAACTAAATTCATCAGCTGATTTTATGTATTTATGTCAATAGTTCACTTATTGAGAGAGGAGAGTATCGCTTTCTTAATGCTGAAAAGCGGATCTGATATATCAAACGTGCTGGAATGAGAGTTAAAATCCTGACATAAGCAACGGAGTGGGTCGTGCAATTCAAAATTGGTTTTACAAGCTTTCAGAAATATGGGACAAAAGTGTCTTGATACGCGTGAGGGAACATTAAAGCTTACATCAGCCAGAAGAGACGGACTTGAAATTGAGCCTGTCAGTAATTTAACCATAAAAATTATACCAAGCATTTCCCTGCGACTGGCAAGTGTAGGAAGGTTAATAAGTTTTAAGCGACTCGTATGAGGTGGAAGACTATATTGAGAATCCCATCGGAAATTTCTTAAAGCAAAAAGTAGGAATTGTTTTTGAATTGATTCTATCTTGTCTGAGTAAATTTGATGCCTTGGATTCCAAACCACCGAGCCGTATTCCAGAATCGGCCTAACTAATGTTGTAAACAGGGTTTTAGTGATATACGGGTCACTAAATTCTTTTGACCATCGTTTCACAAATGCAAGTACACCTTTAGCCTTGTTGACTGTCACATTAATGTGAAGATTAAAATTAAGCTTAGGATCCATTGTGATACCAAGGTCCACAAAATTGTATACCTGTTCCAGGTTATGGTTACCTATTATATAAGACACTGGCAGAACAGCTCTTCGCGAGAAGCACATTACTTTACATTTCTTAAGATTTAGAGGCATAAGATTTACTTTACACCAGTAAGCCATGCTGTTTAAGTCTGATTGTAGCAAAGACCTTTCTTTAATTGAAACGTACGATTTATAAAGTTTTACATCATCTGCATACATTAAAATTTTGGAGAATTTTATATCTGTAGAAATATCGTTTATAAAAAGCAAGAACAGAATCGGGCCTAGGTGGCTACCCTGAGGGACTTCTGCAGTAACATCAATGACGTCAGAGATAGTATTTTTAAACAATACCCTTTGTGATCTATCATAGAGGTATGAAGAGATCCAACGTAGAAAATTAGGTGGAAGACCAAGAAGATCAAGTTTATAGATGAGCAAAGAGTGGCACACTTTGTCAAATGCTTTACTGAAATCAATATATATAACATCAACAGTTTTGCTCTCACTAAATGCTTTTGAGATATAGGATGTTAATTCAAGTAAATTTGTAGAAGTTGATTTGCCCTTGCAAAATCCATGTTGACTGTATGAAATGCTTGAAGTGATAGAATGCGTCAACCGATTTGTTATAATTGCTTCAAATAATTTAGGAATTGCAGAAAGCTTAGCTATGCCCCGGTAGTTCTCCACTGAAGACCTGCTACCGCTTTTATGTAAGGGGGTTATGAACGATTCCTTCCATACAGTTGGAAAAACGCCCTCTTTAAGAGACAAATTAAATAAGGCTGTTAACGGCTCATAGAGATAATCAGCACAATTTCTAAGAAAACAAGTGGGGATCTGGTCAGGACCATAACTAAAAGACTGCTTTAAGGACTTCAGGTAAACTAAAACATCATCGGGAGATATTATAGGGTTATGTATTGAGTTAATTGGACTTAGTTTAAAAGGATAGTCAAAGTATGCTTGGGAGTTAGTGGAATAATTGGATTTAAAAAACTGAGCGAGCATGTTAGAAATTGTTTGATTATCACCAGAGACGGTATTTTGATACTTCATGGCGGAAGGAAACCCACGTACATTTCGCTTGGAGTTTACGAAATCATAAAATGATTTGGGGTTATATATTATACGTCGTTTGATTTTACACAAGTAATCTTTATAACACGTTTTGTTTAATTCAAAGAACTTGTGACGCAAAAGTGAGTATTTTACATAGTATGAGTGTAAGCCGGTTTTTTGTGTAATCTAAAATAACGTGACTTTCTGTTTTTCAAGTTTCTCAGTTCTTTAGTGAACCATAACTGTGTTTGTTCTTCAGGAACACACATGCGTTTAGGCACATACGTTTCAAATAATCTATGTACAGTAAAATTAAAATGTGCAACGCTTTGCTCAACTTTTTCTTTGTATATAGGCCACGACAATTTAGACAATTCCTTATTCAGTTTTTTAAACTTGGCTTTCGAAAAATCAAAGCGAATATTTGGTTCGTATGTTTGGACATCGCAATTTTGACCATCGTTTATTACCCAACACCGCTTTTCCCGCAAATTAATCTTGAGAAGAAGTTATCCACACATATTCCTCTTAGGAATTATTGGAATGCCGACTCGGTATAGGGCCTTACAGCTCTACCGCCGTTCACACGGATGACTCTAAATTTAAGACAAGGAAGCAGGATATATTCACTGAAACTCTGTTTTAGGTTGCCCAGCCACTGCAGTGTTTTGCAAGCAGAGCTCTGTTTAAAAAAAAGAGGGTGCACTTTAGCTTATCAACCCTTATTCTAATCTGGCTTTAGTAACCAACTCCTCCGATTACCTAGCAACTTTAAGGTCACTAGAATGCGGTGAAGCCTCGAGAGAAATGACTACAGAATGAAACAAGTTAGCTTGGGCCTTAGAGACATACAATATTACTGCATGACAAACGAGCTTGCGAGGAAGAGAATCACCCTATCTGATGTCAACTAAGCTCACCGTGCTGGCATACCGCTACCTCTCCGTAAAACAAAAAATCACACTTTTCCGTGAAGGAAAATAAAATATGGCTGGAGGAATCCAAAGGTAGGACGATTAGAAAACTCTCACCCAGCTTCGACTAGAAAAGGTCCGATCTACCACGGCAAATGGCCGATAATTGCTTAATGCAAAGGCATGCCAGCAGAATGAGTCTGCCGGACAATGACTTCTGCCGCAGCTGGCGTTACGAGGAATAAATTGAAGGCGTGGAACTATAACATCGTCACTGCTCTGCTCTATCGGGTACTTGCACGATGTATTCTATCATTCTTGGGGTACTAGGATACGCACATTTCACCATCACATTTTTGGCTGTCTGGCGGGCCTAAGAGCAGCAGGCATTCATGAATTTTCGCATATTTTAGCTTTATCTACTGGTTCTATACGTACTTAAGTAAGCGGATGGAACTAAGATGACATCTGCATAGTTAAGAATGTTGTCAAATAATCTCTGTCTCAGCCAAAAATACACTATTTCACCAACTTCTTGATTGTGAGGCTATTTTTATACGACGAAAGCGGAGACTAGTCTCAATCGGGCCAAATAATACGCACACACACTCCATATTAGAGATAGACACGGGATTAAATATTTAATCCCGATCCTGCCCATCCCGAAATTAAATTTGTTGAGTCACGAACCTGCCCATCCCGAATTTTTTCAGAATTGTACCGCGGGTCCTATCACTAGCGAAATCTATCACTAAGATTAAATCACATGTATTTCAAATAAATTTTAAATAATCACGAAAGATCTGGCCTCCGATTTGTTTTGCTTTGCTGTTCGTTTTGGTCCAAATGAAACATGAAAAAGTGCTTATTTCATAAAACGTTTTTAATGAAGATTTTCCGAATTTTCCTGAGGTTGCGAGTTTTACCGGGAGTATCGGGAAAGGATTTTGGTCACGTCCCGTCCTCAAAGTTCTGAATGACCTACCCGACGCCGCCCATCCTCGCCATTTTGAAATCAGTACCGTAGGTCGCGCGGACTCCCGCGCCCATCTCTACTCCCTTCCCTCAAAAAATTTTCTGGGCGAAGTGTTGTGAAGAGTAGGTAGTATACCTATACATCTGTGTATCTATGGTGGCATTTAGTAAGTGATAAGAAATTAAATATTTTTGCAATAACACAAAAACCCTTGTAAACAATGAAAGTAATGCAATAATTATTTGCAATTTATTTTTGTGATATTGTATCACATTTCTTGGTTCATAAGCACGTTATGTACATATGTACATACAAATGTTCAAATGTACAAACAAGCTTACATTCACTTCTACAACATCTTCTCTCTATAACTGAGCAGCGCATTTGATATCAGTAAAATTTTTATCACAATTTTAAGACATTACCCACTAACAAGTTTTTACATGTTTCATACAAATATCCATTTAGTTAATTGCTTCAATTGATAGTTTACCTGCCATCGGCATGTCTTCCACTTTAGTTCAAAATATTTTAGTTGTATTCTAAAATCGTAACAGCAATGTCGAAGCAACGACGCATCGCATTCGTAGCAATAGAAATTGCTTTTATAGCAGCATTTTTGAGTTACAGACATGGCTTTGTAAACTTAGAGTCATTAAGGCGGCTTCGTAATGAAAGTTCAAAAGTAAATGCAACCCTAGGAAATTCCACTAACAACACCACCTTAGCCGAACGGTTAGCTAATGAGGTACGCATACTCTGTTGGGTTATGACCACGCCAGCTAATCATAAAACTAAAGCGTTGCATGTACGTCGCACGTGGGGTAGGCGCTGTAATCGCCTTTTATTCGTTACCTCGCAGCCAGATGAAGAATTGGGCGAAACACTGGTTATAACGGAAGTTGAGGATACTTATGGTAAAATATGGGGTAAAACAAGATTGGCGTTTGAGCAAATATATCACAAATATGGAGATGACATGGACTGGTTCTACAAGGCCGACGATGATACGTGAGTAACAAAAAGTGTATTTCTTTTCTATCAAATTTAGTACAATTCAAGATTGTTACGTTCTTCATTCACTGAAAAAAAGTCACTTGTCCAACGAAGAATATTTTGCAGAAAAAAGGTCACAAACGAGCTGATAATTGCGTTGACGGTGAAACTGCTTTCAAATATCCGAGTTGCAGTTAAATAGTCCGGTTACTTAAAATTTACCGGCCAGAGCGAATATTTAGGACGAATTGACAGGGCTCTTTACCTTTTTAAATCTTTGAAATGGAGAGATCTGAACTTTTACTCTACCTCCGCAGAAGTTTTTTCAAACAATATTCAAATCGGAAAAAATTCAGAAATTTAATGTTAAAATAAGATCAACCGTGAATTTTTTACTGCGTTTTATTTGATTTACTTTTGATCTAAAAAAACTTTGAACTTATTTTGCTTTCCTCATTTTTAAATAAGAGCTATCCTTACTGTTAAGAGTTTTATTGCAAATTTTGCTCATAAACTTATGCCGACATACGCATTTTCATTGCATGAAAATTATTTAAAATAAAACCGGTTTATCCATTTTTTCCTAATTTCCAAACCGAGAACCAGTTTTTTTCATAAACTTTGAATTTTTCGAATAACTCCAGACCCAGTTTCGAAAAATTTCGAATAAACGAAGACCCTAGTCAGGATATTTGCTTGGGGCAAATCTTGAAATCAATTTTTGACCAACTTCCCGATGACCTAGAGACTTGAAACTTCTCAGTTGGCTCAGAAGCCGATGACAATGCAATACGAAAGATGAACTAATCTGATAGGTGGCGCAGGAGTCTGAATATTTGAAAACCCCGTATTAATAGTGCGATTTGATTCATATTTAGAAAGCTTGCTTTAAAAATATTTTTTACTGCTAACTTATGTATTTGTTTTAAAACACACCCACTTGCTTTCATTTCTATGAAAAATAATAGAAACAATGATGTTTATAATTAGAAACAGAAAACAAGGACGAAAATACCAAAGTCGAAAATGAAATTTTTGACATAAACAGGCAAATCTGCTTTCATTGCTTGTTTTTAAATCTTTACTTTTTAACAACGATTAGTCGTCTTTTCATAGTCAAAAAGAATATACTTTCAGCAAAAATTAAATTTTTTCACACTTCCTTTTAAATTATGGATAGTTTCAATTGAATACACCTGATTACTTATTTGGCTTTTAAAGTTTTACTTTACTGAAATAAATTTTTGAGGCTAAGTGACTAAACTTTGGCAGTGAAGTTAGTATAAAGCCAATTATATATATAATAATAATATAAAGCAAAGGATAAAGCAACGGTCAATAATATGTAAATGAAATATCTAGGAATAAATTTCAATTGCTGCTGCCCAACACTAATGATTGCTATACCAAACACTAAAATTTAAGTTAGTTTCGGGTCACAATGCAGGATTTTTAGAAATACTTAGTCTAATGTACATATACTTCGTTTTTATTTACAGCTACGCTTTCATCGAAAATATGCGTTACTTACTATACCCTTATAGTACGGAAATGCCGATCTACTTTGGATACAACTTCAAAATGAATCAAGATAACGAACAGGTAATTGAAAACTAAATAATTGCATATGTATGTATGCCGCTCCTGTAAAGTGTAAGCGCTTCATTATGCATAGAAATAAATAAACAGGAAATACCACCAAACGGTTCTTATGGTTAGGTTAGGTTTGGTTAGGTTTCGAGATTATCAAAGAAAGGGGATGCACTTGCACTCGAGTCTATTACGAAATTTCGAAGAATGCTGATAATTTCAATATCCGACGGCTTCTAATGGTTAATTAATTCAACTTGAGCTTCACTAAGGTTTAAGAGGCCTAAAAGAAAGTACTGAGATGATTTGACCTTATCATCATCTTGGCGGCTGCGACAGGAGGGAACAGTTGAGATGTTATAAGACTCATCTGTCCACTATTGAGCCACAGGTCTGCATTTCTGCATATCAAGAACTTTCCTTTGAGTAACCGAAAGACCATTGACATTTTTCTTCTATTGAGAGTGTGGATGTAAATAAATAAACAAGTAAATAAATAACCTAGTAAATAAATAAATAAATAAATATATTAACAAATAAATAAATAATAAAAAATAAATAAATAAATGGATAGATAAACATATAAAGTAAGTTATTAACAAATAAATACATAAATAAGCCAATATATAACATAAATAAATAAACACAATAAAACAAGAAATAGATAAATAAATAAGTAAGGAAATTACTAGTTAAATAAGCAAAGAAATGAATAAATAATTTTGTAAAATGGTAATAAAAAATAACACAAAAAATAACAAAATAAAGAATCAAACAAAAAATAAATACTACTAACTAAATAAACAAAAATACTATTTACTTACTAAATAAATAAACAAAAAAATAAACAATTAATAAAAATAATAATAAAAAATATCACAAACAAAAAAAAATTAAGCAAGTAAATAAATAAATAAACAAAAAAAAAATAAAAAAATAAATAAATAAATAAATAAATATTAAAAGAAAATAAATAATAAATAAATAGACAAATAAATAAATAATGAATACATAATCAAATAAATAAATAAGGAAATAACTAAATAAACAAGACAGTAAATAAAAAAAAATAAAAAATAATATAAAATAAATAAATTGATAAATACGATAAAAAATGAAAACAAAAATGAGCTTTCCGATCGAAAAATATTGATTTTCAATTTCATATGGAAAACTTTACACATCTTGAGTACTCTCTCAATATTTTTTGATTAAAAAAAAAAATTCGGTATATTTTTTCGGTACAGAAAAATCCTCCCGGGTGGCGGCATTCAAATTCAGACGTTACCGTTTTTTGGACCACTCTAATCCAGATGTGCTTGAAATATTAAAAAAAAATTATTAAAAATCAATGCGACTCCTCAGCCACTTGCTAATTGCACTCTATTATACTAATATTTAATGGTCTATAAAACTGCATAACCAAAACTAGAAACTCAAAATATTTTTTTAATTTTTTTCTACAAAATTTTAAATTTTTATTGTACATTTCTTTTTTTCGTTTTTGGGGAACCCTACAATTGTTTTCAACTAATTTTTATTATGTAAAATTTATGAACTGAAACAGGACAATCGATTTTCTTTAAAACTGCGACTTTTTTGCACTTTGCACAAAAAAATGAAACACAAACAAACGAATATTCAAAGATCGGGCTCAGCTGGTCACTTTAAAATTTTATTAGCTTTCATTAAAAAAAAATAATCAAAAGGAGTGAAAATTGAAGGCCCTAGTGAATTGTGAAAACAAAACGTCAATTTTGAAACTTCACATCCAAGTCGAATTCATACAAGGTGGTAGCGGTAGTACAAAAACAAAAACTAATATGTATTTTGTTTTCGCTCTCGGTACACAAATGCCAACTTTCAGCTATTCTTCGCTCAAGAAGGAAAAGGGGAAATAAAATGCCAACACTCTTCCTCACTCATAAGGAGTTTTGACATATGTGTACCGAGGCGAATTAAAGCAACTGTTCTAGCAACACCACCTTATATGAATTCGCCTTGCTCACATCTCAAAACACTCCAAAAATACTCGCTAACAAAAAACTCTCTGCTATTTAATATTAAAAAAAAAAATCGTTTTAATTACTTTTTGATCTGAATATTAAAGATTAAGTACTCTTTAGTTAATTATATCTTCTCGTCTTATTAGGATACTAATATGTATGTATATATGCAATATTCATTATGTCTTAATTCCAAGGTCTACATGTCTGGCGGTAGCGGCTATGTTTTAAGTCGTGAGTCTCTTCGTCGCTTTGTTGAATCGGCTATAGTCAATAATACCGGATGTGATGTTATCAACGATGCACAACCGGAAGATTGGGCGATGGGTCGTTGTTTGCGTGCCGTAAATGTTACTGCCGGCGATTCACGTGACACGCATGGTGAAATACGTTTTTACCCATTTGAGGCGCATGTAGTGTTGCTGGCAACATATCTACAAGATGATTTTTGGTTCTTTGACTACAGTTTTTATAATCCGCGTGCGGTAAGTGATACAAGTGTTGCCAATTTCCATGAAAAATACATAAATTCTTAATTGCATTTTCATATAACTTTTCAGTGCAGAGATTGTCTTTCAAAATATCCGGTAGCTTTTCATTATATCAGCCCGGAACTTATGTATTTGTATGAATTTTTTGCTTACGAATTTCGAGCCCACGATCTGCCGGATGATCCGGAATTTGTTTTGCCTAAAAAAACTAAGTCCTGATGAGGTATCAATAAAGCAATCTGATAATATTTGGAGTATTGTCAAAAATTAAAGAAAATGAAGTACTAATTTTAGTATCGTTTTATGTATTTTTAAAGTATGTGTTTAAGTACATCGATGTAAATATATGTACATTTGCGTATGTATACGCCTGAAGGAGGTTAGTAAATAAGTGAGCTGCAAAGTATGAACAGCAGCCGAAATTTGCACCAACATCGATGTGCAGGAAGTCAACTGTTGCACACTCTACGAATCATTTGATATGTAAATATGTATTATACATATTTTAAAATTGCATGCCTGCTAGCTATATACAGCAGTTTGCCGCAGGCTCACTTATTACCATACAAGTTGGTTGAGAAATAAATTCAAATTGTTTTTGGACTTAATATTTTTGTCATAAGTGAGGAAAAAAATGCAAAAGGTAAAAGCAAAAATGCTAATGTCAATAGAATAAATTTGGACAATATTTACTGTTGTATATCTACGATTTTTAATCCATGAAAACTTAATGTATGCAAGTATATTGGTCGTGTCTTTGTTTGGAAATTGTTTTAAGCTTTCCAATTTACCAATTTAGCTTAAATAAGCCGTGGGAGATGATTCGAATGAGTAGCGTTTGGTTAAAGTTATTCAAAAAATAAAGATATCTTAAAAACCAGGCCACGATGCTTTAGAAGAATAACTTACACTGACTGTTCATGAATAGGAGACATGTTTCCCCATCCAGCAGGTAAATGCAAATAAAGAACAAATTAAAATTACTAAATGAAGTTAAAAAGAAAAATCGTTAGATTGTTGCTTTTCCACAATAAATTTTCATTAAAAAACGACCTCGAGCTCAATAAAAATTGTTGAATATAATTGTTATAAGGTCATAAAATAAAAAATAAAAAAAATGTTTAACCTTTTGTAAAGCTACTTTATTTTTTTTTTGGATAAGGCTATACAAATTTAAGGAAAATTTAACCAGAAAAAGAAGAAATTTTAATCAAATAAAAAGAAAATAGTACCCAAAAATTAAAAAAAAATATTGTTTTATTTTTAAAACATGATCTAAAAAAAAAATTAAATAAAAAAGACAAAAAAATAAGATCCTAAAAAGTTTAAGGAAAAAAAAAATTATTTAAAAATAATAAAATCTAAACCCGAAAAGAACATTAAATTGGAAAATTATAAAATGTTTAACTAAGAATAGGAAAACATATTTTACAAAAAATTGAATGAAATTAAAAAAAAAATATGTATATTATTTTAAAACAATAAAATCTTAAAAGAAAATTAAATAAGAAACGAAATCTAATAATTAAAAAAATAAAATAAAAATAAAAAAATATAGTAGAAAAAAATGACGTATAAGAAATGACTAAGAAATTTTCTGGAGAAAAATTTCCTTACAGCAGTACGCAGTTCTTAAGAAATTTGTTACGCCTTCTACTACGGTTTTTTAAAGTTTTTTATGAAAAATGAGCATAAGGCAACCCATGCTTGCAACAAAAATATATGCCCGTTCCATAATTCCTTGAGAAAAGAGTGAGGCAACAGGCCGGTGAAGTATCAGATGTCAAAATTCCTTGGACACACACACGAAATAATGGCAATTTTTTTCTGAAGCGTTTTCTTGAGAGCTGCAGCCTGGCCTTTAAAGTGTACCGGTGCGTCTATTGCAATTTTTTTCATGAAGAAAAGTGATTGATTAATAATATTTAATATAATATTTTTAATAATAATTGAGTAATAGAAAAATTGTTTTAAAAATTCTTAAATTTAGTAAATAATTTTTTTATAGCTCTGTTCAAGTTCAAAGCGAAAAGTTGAACTTGAAATTATTTTAACTGCATTTTCAAATAAAAAAAAAAAAACTGAATAGTTTCACTGAGTTCCGACTTGAAATTTATAAAAACTAATTCTGTGAAGTGTTGGCTTTACGTTAAGATATACTCATTTTGCGCGCTTTTACGACACCCATACAATTGTTTTCAATTTTCAGAATGATTTTCCAAATATCGCGACAACAACCCCAAGAAGCTGCGAGTAACCAAGAGTTTCGAGCGATTTCAAAATTTGTTTTTATTGGAACCCCTTTTGAATTTTAAAAATTCGTGGTCAGATTCATAATCAGCGAACTCCCAAAAAAACCCCGTAAAACAAGTTTCGAGCGAATTCAATCGATTGTTAGATGCTCTATTCAGATCACTGTGCTGAGTCGGCATTTTGACTCTGTGGTAAAACCAAACAGGAAATATGGAATCGAAATTGTTTATTACCGACTAATATCACTTCGTTAGAAAAGCCAGACTTTTTAAGGTCCATTTAAAGAGAAATACATACTTAAATATAAAATTTAAGCGCCAGTTTGCACAGTGTGTTAAATAGCCCAGAGGTTTGTCTCGGACTCAGGTAGGAAAGAAGCAATATTGCATACTTTATCATGCACATGCATTTTATTTGTCCAATAAATATTGTTTCCTTTTTCACTTCTATTTGAAACACCTAAAAGTATGCTACAACTTAGTGCATTTGTTGAGATTCCTGTGTGTTATTATACTTACTACTCTCTTATTATTATTATTATTATTTTTATTCGCTCCTTTGTGATGTGCGTTTTATAATCTTCTTCTGCTTCCTGTATATCCTTCAGCACGCTTACAGGCAGTGCACGCAGTTCTTAAAACTTTCTGCTGCATTCACTTCTTGCCACTTTTTTACAATACATACTACTCTCTCTCTCTCTCTCCTTGTTTCTCTCCTTTAAGACTCGTGAATATTTACATTTTCTGTGCAGCGCTACAAAGTTGCATTATTGCTGCACTTTTACAAGTAACCCCTCAAATGGGTAGTGAATATTTTATGATTAAAAAATAACTGAAACAAAAGCATTTTTATGTAGTTCAGACGCGTGCGAAAAAAAGTGAGAAAGTTTTACATAAACTTTTTACCACTGCGGGCTATGTTGTTTACGAAAGCAGAGCGTGAATTTTTACTTCTCGTCAATGGCTGAGTTTCAAGTAAGAACAAACAAAAAAAAAAAAAAAAAAACAATCAACAACAAAATTTAAATTAAAAACAACATAACATTCGCGAAAAAATTCTTCGAACTTTGGCGCTTGAGCTTGTGTTTTGCACAATTTTAAGCGAGCAAACTGAACTCATTAAGTAAGGTATTTGGAATTCGCGAAAGTGGATTTTATGCTCAGCCTCGTTATTGCAGCAGCGCTTATTTACGTTGTGCTTTGGCGCCAGCAAATTTTTGCTAAAATACTTTTTGTCTTGCTGTCCTTAATTGTAAGTAGAAAAATTTTACGATGTTAGTTTAGGATCGCTCTGTGTGCTAAATTCATCTTATTTGTTTATTGTTTGCTCCTTCAGGTGATAATTCTTAACCCAGTATGCCCAAGACAACCCCCTCTTCCGCAATGAATCCAAAAA